AAAAAAAGGCTGGTTCACCAATAATTCTTCTAGAGGCCCCAGGAATGGATGCTTTTTGGCTTTTTTTTTAACAGCTTTTGGTTAAGCTGAAAAAACTTTTTAGATTTCTTAGAAAGTTTCTGATTTTAGAAAATGTATACAAAGAGTATTTCTCTAGAATATGGTGCCTGAACTTTTCGTGGGAAAAAACTAAACTGAAGCAAAACATCCACTTGGTCTTGCTGAAGATATCTTTCCAGTGCTGTGTACTCCCTGCCAACCGTTCCATCTCCCCAATTTTGGGGCTCCTACCCCTTTAACAATGAAGAAAAATAAGCATCTTATTATGGGGGAAAAAGAAAACTTAGCCTGTGTGGACAAGCTCTCAGACTCAGCCTGAGAAATTAACTTTGATCAAATTACTTTCTGAACAAATGGTCTTTGCTGGAGCTGGTGAAAGGATGCAGCCCATGTGGCCCCGGTTTCAGCAGCTTCCTATCTGTTTATCCCTGGACCAGGCTTGATCTCACTTCTGTTCTCTTCCCCCTGCCTCATTTGGCACAAGAGGGATGTCCTACAAGAGGACACTGTGCTTACTTTCTCTCATCCTCTGCCCTCATTTTTCTTGAATGAGTGCCCGTTTGCTTATGGCCTGTCTCGCTGGATACCAACCAAGCATGCAGAATGCTAGAGCTGTTCCAATAGCAGCAACTCAAATTCACCCTCTTTTTCTCTTAGATGAGGAAAGTCTCTGATTTCTCACCCTTCTTGCCACCCGACCCACTTCTCATGGAGAATTAAGACTGGAAGTACCACACCTCTCTACCTTATGCTCAGAACGACCTCTCTAGACATTATTAGCTCCAGACTGTGCCAGGAGCAGAGATCATCACAAAGGGCAAAGTGGGCTCTGTTGGAGGCAAGGGACAGTGGCATGATCACAAACCATGACTTTTGTGCTCACCTGTCACCAGCACAAGGCACTGCATCCTCCATCTTCCATGGCTGGCCCTAAATAAGATAAGGGGCTTCTAGTACTATCTATTTCCTCCAGGCTTGGCTTCTCACCAGGCAAGTTGGCAGCAGCTACAGGAACTAATAGCCTGTGGCTAGAGGAGTACTGAGCAGGCTGAGAAGGGTGGGAAGGGCCGCTGTGCTGGAAGGAAGCGGAGACTAGGGGCGCACAGGCGGGGTGCTGACGAGTGATTAAGCACTCTGCAGGTCCGGAGGTTAGATCTCCTCCTCCTTCTCAAGGGTCTGTTACTTCTCTCTGAGGAGGCAGCTGTTTTGAAATGGCCACAGGCAGCTGCTCTCCTCTATATCTGTGGAGAGAAAAAGCAAAGCAGCCTTTGCTGGTAGAAAGAGGTCTTTTGTGAATTGACTCAATGAAATCAGTTACTTTTTCTCAGAAAGCTCATCTCTAGTGCTTTTCAACTAACCTGGTGACCATTTCTGCTTTAGTTTCTGGTACATCCATTCACTGTGTCCCAAAGTGCTACAGGCCCCCAGTTTTCTCAGTACACAATATCCAATTGCAGGAAATAGAGGGTCCTGGCAAGAATGTGGACTGACCTCTCCCCCTCCCCAAGAGGGTCAGTTCATTACTCCTCCCATAATGCAACTGTGCCTCCATTAAAAAACCTATGGAACTAGAAGGCACTGTGGGGGTCACCAGGGACCTGGTTAGCCAAAAGTGGTGCTGCTGTCTGGATACAGCCTCTAAGCGTATGGAAGGGCGGCAGGAATGGACAGGGAGGGCTAGGTTCAAGCCCTTCACTTAGGAAACATTTCTGAAATCCTCTGGCCTTTTGTCTGCCTGGATCAAGCAAAGAAACCAGTCTTTGCCTTGCATTATAACAAACCTAAGACCAGACAAACCTCATAGAGTGTGGGTACCTCTAGCAGTGGAGATGCGGAGAAATTAACCTGTGTGAGGTCCGCGGGCACCCTGGCAGCCTCAAATGTGGGTTGGAGAGCCTTCCAGGACTCTGGCTTGCCTGCCAATGGTTGCTTACCCTATCCCACTATCTCCCTCTTGTCCTTCATCCATCCCAGCATGATGCACTGTAGGAAGGACCAGGCTTTGGCCTCTGGTCTCAGCAAACTCTGACTTCTGCTTACAACCAAAGGAAGGCTGTAAATAGTAAGCTGGTCCCTGGGATAAGGGAAGCTTGGGTACTGACTTCTTTGCCCTGACCTCTTTTTCCTAGACTTTTGAGGGCCCAGTGACTGAGGATACTAGTCATTATATCTTGCTTTGAATCGACTCTTTTTGCTAATGACTGGATCACAGCTACAGCTACAAAAGACCTAAGAGAAATTCACCACCTGATTTCTCACACTGAACTATGGGAGTCCTGGAAAGAAAGCTCAGGTGCTGGGACTAGGAACGGTGAGCCTGAGGAGGTGGGGCTACTGAACGTGAGGCGGAGGGCTTGAGGAGCTAAGGAAGCTTAACCCGAAGGGCTGCGGACCAGAGCTGGCACCTAGTTGATTGGTGAGCACCATTCATCTGTTGGTTAGTTTTTCGGTGCTCCGTCCGGTTGCTATGAGTAGAAGCTCGCCTTGGAGGATCATTTGCTTTATCTCTGCAGGTAGCCAGGAGCGTGCACCATCTCCGCGACCTTGCTTCCGCGTCTGGGAGAGCGTGGGGATTTTGACCAGCACCACGCACCGACCGTGGGCACGCGTCCTCCTAACCCTGGCGACCTTGACTAGGCTCTTTAGCCTGTGAATGGACCTGGGGAACGTCTCCAGCCAGAGGGCTTCTGATGATCTGGAAAGTAACTAGAGAAAATCTGGTACACGCTTGTACTCACTCTCTTTACAGTGGAGTCTATGGGAGTAGAACTCGAGTAGCCGAGGCCGTGAAATGAGAATTTTCCGACAGCAGATTTACTGCGGACAGAGGCTCAGCGGATCTGCTGCGCCGTGGGTTAGGCAGGGCGCGGGCCAGGGAGGGCGCAGCCGGGAGCGCAGGGCGACCGGTTTCTCTCTCCGCCAAGCTGCGGAGGGAGGGGCTAGGCTGTCCAGCTCCCGGGACAGGCGCAGTGCTGCTCTCTTTCACTGTTCAGTTTTTGGAGGTCTTTAAAAAATTTTTTTGATAATGACCCCAATACATGTTCAACTCTCTTGTTACAGGTTTTTAAAAGTTTAGTGGCATCCACCCTACTTGCTCATGCACACCAGATCAATTTGATTTTAAGCGCGCACTTATTTTTAAGCCCCCGAGCATCCACGAGAGTTAAGAAACCTAGGACCTGTGGTTTGCTAAACCCAGTCACAAGAGCTGGTCACTTCTCTCTGCTTGGCGAACGCTCGGCTTTTCCTAGTCTCACCCTTGGACCCAAGAAAGGTCGGAGTGCACCTCAACACCCTCCAGGTTGAGGTGGGCTAAAACCTAAGCAAGTGGTTTGGCTTTCCTAAGTCATCCTTAGACAAAAGTTTAATCCCCAACTGGAATCTTGTAGGGGGACGAGAAGGATACAAGAATGATTGTTTCACTGGGAGTGGTGCTTGAGAAGCTGAAAGAAAGCAGAAAAGGCAGAATGTCAGTTTCAGAGGCTCTGCCTGAGTGTTTTGGCCTTCAGAGTTTGGGAAGGAGGCTGATAGTGCGTCTAAGGTTAGTCAGTCTCCTGCCCTCTCAGCAGACTCCTAGGGAAGAGAAGGAGGGAGATGCAAGCTGGATTTGCTTTGGAAAATCTTTGCCACCTGAGGCATGGGTGGTATACTGTGTGACATGCAGGGGAACTTACTGATGGTATCCAGCAGCACCAACAGGTCTTAAACCCTGACAGCTTTGTCCCAGAATCAAGGGTATCACCTGCAGAAGGCACAGTGCCCAGGCCCAGCATCCCACACTCATTCACCCTGGACAGGGGCAATGTCAGTCAAGTGGACCATTTTGAGAGGCAACCTGTCTGTTCTCAATGTCCACTCTCAAAATTGCCTTGTCAGCGTCTATCTACCCCATGGTAGTTAAGCCAGAATCATAGAGCTTGAGTTTAGCACAGTGGAAACAGAAGGAGGTATTTAGCCCAGAACAACATTCTACACAGTGTGTCGGGAGCATTGTGCCCAGGCTATGCACATCTATGAGTGATGTGCCCTTTCTTCCCCCTAGTGGCTTCACTAATTTGTCCAGGTAACTTTCTGTTTAAAGCTGCCTTGATGTAGCCATGAAAGATTTCCAATCCTGAAAAATCTACATGTGTTTTATATGCTTTTCATTATTGAGATAGGAATCCTTAAGTGGGTACTCAGTAATGGATAAAGCCACATCTTAGCATCAACCTTGGCTTATGTGAATCGACCTCATCAGTCAAAATCACAGCCTTTTCATTAAAGTAACCAATGAATAGTGTATCAGAGTGTAGTTTAAAGCTTCAGATAAATTTTCAGACAGAAATATTTCAAGAATGTAAGCCAGGTATATTTCTCAGATAAATGACAGTAGGGGCATGGCATACATGGAAATTCCCGGTTCTCAGGTTTCCTGAAATCCAGTGTGAGCATCATTAATCATTCATTGGGGTCGGCCCTTCAGTCAATGGCAGCTCTGAGTAAGCTGAAGCGAGCCGTTAGCTAATCCTTCCTGCCAAGGGGATCCTGGGGAGAGAGAGGACAACTGGACAGTTAGTCACATGTGCTGGGTGCTCAGACCCTGCCTGTCTTGCTCAGCTCTCGGCGTGATGTGCGTGTGCGCTTACCCTCTCATACACAGACCGAGAGCTTCCCAGAAGTAAAAACAAATTCGGCAGCATCGTGTTTAGCGTGACCAAGAGTTTGCAACAGGAAAACAGCTCAAGCCCAGGCGTAATGGCTTAGGGTGACTCTCTAAACGCTGAGTAAATCCATTCATTAGCTCTTAAGTAAATCAGTAGTAACAACAGCGAAAACAGCCCCCTCCTCCCCCGCGCCACACCAAACCCTTCCCAAGTTGGGCTGGGAATCCTTGTTTGGCTCTTGGTCGCAAGCACTAGAAGCGTTGGGATCCCCGGCGGGACGCAGTTCCCGAGGGATTCCCGGGACAAGGGTTGTGATAGACTGGTCCGCCCGGCACAGGGAAGGGAACCTGGAAACTGGATCCTAGGTAGGCGAGAGTGCCTTGCTGGGACGCAAGCGTGCGGCAGAGGTGGGAAGGACAAGATTCACTCCCGCGTCTCAACCTCCCCTTCCCGTCGCGGCCCCGGGAGGACACAGTGCTTGCTCGGAGCTGAATTCCGCGCAGCGTTGGCTTGGGTGGAGGATGGCCGTGTGGCGGGTGAGAACTGCTGGGGTGCGTGGCCCGGGTGTGAGCGCGCCCAGCGGCGGGGTGCAGCTTCTCTCCGCCCGGCTTCTCCTCCCACTCGCCCTCTCCCACCTCCTCCCTCCTCCACACCCCCGCCCCCGGGACTGCGAGGCTCCCTCCCCGCACCGGCCGGAGAGTACACAAAGCGGCGGGTGAGGGGAAGCTTCGCGGGCGTGCACGGAGCAGTGAGATCACTGGCGTTATAAATATCCCAGTGCCAGCGCCGAGATCCGTTCGGGTGGCCTCTCTCTCTCTCCCCCCTCTCCCAGTCTCTTTCCCAAGGCTATGTCCACCCGGTGCGGCGAGGGGGGCAGCGCCAGAGGTACGCAGCCGCGCGGGGGCTGCGGAGCCCAGAACCAGCCCTACAAGATGCGCTTAGGACCCCCGCGGCTGGAAGAATGAGCTTGTCCTTCCTCCTCCTCCTCTTGCTCAGCCACCTGATCCTCAGCGCCTGGGCTCGCGGGGAGAAGCGCCTCGTCCCCAAAGGGCAACCCGGACCGGCTGCCACTGCTAGGAACCCGGGAGGCGCCAGCAGCAGCTGGAGCAGCAGAAGCACGACGTCTTCCTCTTCTTCCTCTGCCTCCTCCTCCCCCGCGGCTTCTCTGGGAAGCCAAGGAAGCGGCTTGGAGCAGACCAGTTTCCAGTGGAGCCCCTCGGGGCGCCGGACCGGCAGCCTCTACTGCAGAGTGGGCATCGGTTTCCATCTGCAGATCTACCCGGATGGCAAAGTCAATGGCTCCCACGAAGCCAATATGTTAAGTAAGTTGCTTGCTCTCCTGCAAAACCCGTCCTAAGCGGGCGCCAGGAGATTCGGGAGGGACAGCGGATTATTCCCTGGGCCACAGGCGCACCTTTCCGAGCCTCGGCCACTGGGATCCAGCCGGCCCTGGAAACGGCGGGGCAGATTGGGTGGAGATCCGTCTAAACGGCGCGCACACACTTACCCCTCTTGTGGTTATGAGGAATGGCGATTCCTGAGGTGTCGGCTATCCGGAGGCTGGTACAGACAGGCACCTTGCTTCCAGTTTGCCCTGGTCCCAAAGAGGAGCTCCAGCCTGTGCCTGGAGGAAAAACACAAATTTTCTTTCTCCTCTTCTAGTTTCTGTTTACTTTCTGCTTCTGTTTACCAGAATAGTATTTTACACTGAGCATCAAAGTGCACTCCCTTTCCCTGCCCATAAATAATAGTTTTTTTAAAGAATAATCAAACCTCACATACTCCCCTCCCCACAACCAGTACCATAAACCCCAAATTAATATTATATATAATATATATACTTGTATATCTATTATAAATATGTACACATTTGCATATTTATATTATATATGTGTGTATTACATGGGCGACAAGACATATCTTGCTTCGAAGAGGACAGTGATCTAGAAAACTGGACACGTTTAGAGGGGAGGACGTGATGGACATTCGAATTATGAATTCAGGAGTTGGGTTTAGCAATGTTTAATATCTTGAGACCATGACCAGACTTTGTGAGAAAGAGTGGCCGGCCTTTTGTCCCCAAGGACAACTTTATTTTAGAAGAAACTCAGAGGCGATTCAATTTGGTACAGATGAAAATTTTGTAGGTTTTTTAAAGCCAAGTTTAAAATTTTCTGAGTTTTCTCTTTAGCTCCCTCTTTTTCCCTCCTTCCTCATCTCCTCTTCCTTTCTACCCCATCTGAGTTTCCACACCACTCTGATTCCTCTCACTGCCTCTCTAGGCGGCAGAGAGGAGAGATGATTTGGGGTTGTGTGCGGGACTGGGGGTATCTCTGCGGGCCTTTTCCTCCTTAGGGCCGGATTGCTGTTCCAGCCGGGGTTAGTCCAGCAGATAGACGCACAGTCGGAGCCTCTGAGAGACTCGGGAGAGAGGAAACGTGGCCAGAAAACAGCGTCGCGCAGGGTCTCCTGGCTCCCATAGTGTCAGCCTGGTGACTCCCAGGTGTGCTTAACTTTATCCGTCTTTTAAACCGATGACCCTATGGTCAATTGCGTGTCTTCTTTCCCAAGCTCCGGAGGAGCGCCGGCGCCACAGCGGAGCTGGCATCTGACACCCTCTCCGGTCGGGGGGTCGGGGGGCCGGCGGCTGGTTGCCACCAGAAAGGGAGCGAGTCCACTCCCGTCTCCTGCCTCCGACTAGTCTTCCGGTCTCTGCCGCTCCAGCTGGCTATGTCACATGTGGCGAGGCGACCTGGAGCACGGAACCCCAGAGAGGGTTTTCCACATCCTCTCACCGAATGCTAGGGCCTTCCACACTCTCCTTAGGGGGGCTTGACTTTCAAGTTTTGAGGTTCGTTGCACTCTTACTCAACAACTGACCATCTTTGGTGGCAAAAGGCAAGGTCAATTAGGGCAGATGACAATTTCCCAAGATCTCAGGGTCGACAAGAGTTATGTCTATTTCAGTGTTTCCATTGGCCTTCTCATTTTGGCCCACCCAACTCTTCCCTGCGCCAGACTTCAAATCTCATTCCCCACTTCTAGTAATCGTCCCCCTTTCTCCTTACAGGAATACTCTTTCTATTCTGTTCTTCTTGTAGTTTATCCAAGAAAGCAGCCTCAACAGAGGATAACCTCTGTGTTCCCAAGGGAAGATCCAGAGTTAGCCTGCAAGGGGCAGCAGGTTGGATCCCAGGGAGGGTAAAAGGATGTGTCTGGCATGCGTTTTGGTGTGCTATGGATCTCTGAAAACCAGACTTATTCCCAAGATACTCATCCTCTTCACTTGGAAGAAACCATGAGAGACAAGGACTTTTGCAGACAAGGCCTTGTGGAGGGAGTTGTAGAAAAATATAGGAAAGGAAATGAGAACAATTCAACAAAGAGTACATTCAGCTAAAGAAAACATTGGCCAGTATTTGCTAGTTCTAAGGCACATTTTATTTTAAAATCCACTTTGAAAGGTATCTAACAAAGGACAGGCACAAAACACTGTTTGGTTTCATAAACAAAACTAAAGTGCCTAAATAAAACTTTCTTCATTTAACGAACACTTTCCTAATTCATTCCAGTTTACAGCAGCCTTTCAGAGTTTAGTCTGTATCTTCCACATGGCTTGAGATCATTCACTGACTCATTCATCCACTTATTCGTGTACCCAGCATAGGGTACCTAGCTCACCAAATTTGATATTGGGTTACTTTGGGGTTCATTGAGGGATTTTTTTTTCCTTCTCCAGGTTTTTCTCACTGAGGAGTAAAATTTACATGTTTAAATCATGGTGATTTTCAGTTTTGTGATGTCTGAGTGTCTAACACTATTTCATACGATTTTGCAACCATTGATCAATGGAGAACTTATGAAATACATCATGTTAAAAGGACAACATGTAATTGGAAGTTTAAAATGAATCTCTGTCTTTAAGAAGCTGTGAGAGAAAAATAGACCTGCCAATTGCAGTTGGTCATATACCTCTTTGAAGACAGCACTTGATGGTTCCCTGATTCATATGTAAACTAAGGCATTGTTTACAAACTGTTGGTTAGAGTGTGTGAGGAAACAATTGTCCAGGTCTCTCTAGAGACACTAAGAGAGTTTTGGGACCAAGAGGGCCATAGAGGATACATCAGCGTTTTACCTCATCTTCTAATTCTACTGTCTGAGTTATCAATGATAAAAAACAAAAAAAAGTTTCTGTCACAGCTTGCTACTTCAGTAAAGAGTCAAAATTTTGCCATGAAGCTGAATTCTAATAGTTGCTTTTAAACTCAAAATTTTTCTGTGTTTGTCAGAACAGATAAATACATCTGTGTATAAATGTTTTACAACCATCATTGGACACTAATTTTTGCAAACTGTGTATATCTTCTAGTTTCACCATCAGAAGTACACTGGCCATAGGTTTTTGAAATACAATAGTTCTCTCATACAATAGTTCTCCAAAGCTTTGAAGACAGAAAAAAGAATCAGTCTCATTGTACATAAACTCTTATTATGAGGAAGTACTGGGGAAGGATGAAGAAAGATGGTCAAGACAGATGATAAAATCCTAGTACTGAACAGAAACAAATATTTTGCTTCAATTATTGTGCTTTCAAGTTTAGTTTCAACACACTGCTCCTGTTGACTTATCTTGAGCCACTGAAGAATAGGCAATAAAGTAGTTGTCAGTTTAGGAAGCAAAAGCTCAAAGCTATAGCTACACAAAGCTGAAGTGTTCACATAAAATATGGAAATTCCAATCATGTATTTTGGCTAAGCCAAACCCTCAGTTTTACTCATTTAAAAAAATCTGAATTCACTATCAATTTTGATGTCATGTAGTATCAACCTTTATATAGTCCCCGAAGACTAAATAAACCAGAAACTTTATCTACTATATAGAAAAACTCAAGCAGGATATTCCTATGTTGCTAACGTAATCAGTGAAGACTGGATTATTAATTGGATTATTAAGACTCGGATTTGATAAAGATATGACGTATCTCCTGCTGTGTGAATGCAAGCAGAGAAACATCAGTTTTAAATGATTTTTCTTTGAGGGTTTTCAGACGAGCTGTTGAAAACTTCTGAATACATGGAGTATCTGTCATTCTTATTCACTAAGAAAAGAGAGAAAAGGGAGAAGTTTACATAATTGGATCCACCACTGATAATAAAGTCTATTATATTAAAAATTCTAGAGGGGACTAAGTAAAAAAATCTAGATACTGATTTTCTTACTGGAATAAGTTTACTTTGTAACGCATGCCTATGCTTGTGAGTGAGTTGATTAAATAGTGTGTGTATAATCTGAGACACCAAGTTCTTGTATCTTTCAACCTAGATATCAATCCCAAAATTCCTCCAAGAGCTAATAATTCCTTCAGTTAAGCACTGCTTTTTTCTTTTGATCCTCTTAAATGTGAACACCCTAGGAAAGAGAACACATTGTCACTTGCATTTTAACATGAATTAACTATACTGATCCTCTCCCCCTGCCCCACTCCTCAGCATTAGAGGGCCAAAATAGCAGGAGAGAATGAAGACATGTGTCCATACAGGTGTACATGTGGGGTGTCCTGAAAAGGAAGAGAGGTAGTGAGAAGGTCAAAGAAACAATCCAATTCAGCAAACAAATTTATTGACTATCTATGATCTGTGTGACACACATGGCCATCTGCAGTTTTGTTTAGGGACACCATCTGGGCTCCCTTAATGTGAATTGTAAATTCCCATCATATTTATTATTACTGACTCCTAATAAGAGTGAGGAAATTACTGAAATTGAAAAAAAATTCAGTTTTAGAGAAATGTTTTCTGGGATTTATATATATGTGTGATTTAATGCACATTGGTTTAAAATGCTTTAAGGAGTTACTGAGATTTGGCATAATAAAATCAACAGGCCTGTGATCTCTTGGTGAGGAGGCAGGAAGTTGAATTGTGAGGCTTGCAGAATATGCTCCAAAATTCTAGGAAAAAAGACATTGTGAAATAACTTTGGGGGTTACTTTGGAGACTATGATCTTAACAGGGTGCCCAATATTACAGCATAATTACCTTAAGATCTAGACGATCATACCAAAGTTGCCTCTGTGAAAAAACTATTATTTCATCTAATCTCATCTTTTTTTCTTTCCTGGATTCTTCATAATTTTAAATAGAATGATATATGTAAAAATACATTTTTAAGCTTTCAATTAAATAAAATTTTCTTAAAATTATAAAATTCTTTTATTTTCAGGCATTGTAACATTTTTTATACTGGAACTTACAAGAAAAGAAGCCATGCGGTATGCAGTGAAATAACACTTTCACGTATATGATTTCATCTTGCCCACATTTAAAACTTATTACAGTGCAAATTTTACATAACATGTACATACAGAATGTATAGTGTGTTGGAAAACAAGCTGAGTCAAGAATAGGTCTTTCTTAAAAATAGAATGTGTTGTCAGAAACCAACAGTTTACATAGGCAGAGCAGTGTTCCCATTAAACAAGTATTTACAGAGCCCTTTTGTCGTGGCCTCTTAAATGTTAGCCTGCAAACACTTATGCTTAATGAGAATTTTATCTTGTATGCTACCATATATTCTTTTTCACTAATACACAATAGATTTGCATTTACAAAACTAGGTGATTTTCCAGATAATGGTATAGAAAAACCTCTAAAAATGTAGAACTATGAGTAAATTGGGGGAAACACACAATCAAGTCTCCTTTTCTATCAACTCCATATTGTCTCTTTTGCATCTGTCATTCTACACATAGACAATTTCTCATGTTCTCTCCATTTCATTCTTTGATACACGTTTACATAGTAGTCACATTCACCCCCCATCTCCCAAATATCCAAAATTATTAAAGTTGTTTCAGTATCATTCTGTAATTTTGGTAGAACTATAACTTTGTATCTGATGTTCTATTTATGTTTTATTAATAATATTATTATAGCATATTATATTGAATAGTAAGTTTATCTTTACAAAGCATTCTATGTGCTTTGTTACTATTGATAAAATGATAATGCTTCTAAATCTTTGGGTGAGCATCACAGTCAAATAATTCACATAGCAAAATCTATCATAAATAGCACCTTGAAAACATTTTGAAGGAATGAATTTATGAAACATACTTTTAAGAGTTTCTTCCTAAAAGCAAAAGTAGTTTCTTTCTAATAGTTTTTACATATTTTTTGTTCATTTTAAAGAAACATCCACTAATAAAGTGGTAGCTGCAGTTTTCTTGAGATGCATTTTATTTACCCCAGGCTAAGCACACTTGTCACAAGAACAATAGTTCCTCCATGAACTTTCTGATCAAGTATTTTTAACAAATCTTAAAAATAAATTGAATAAATAAGCGGCAGGATTTGCTGCAATTATAGTTATTAGGTCACATTGTGCAACATAAGTGCGCTGTAAAGATATTCATCTATATAATTCTATGTATTATATATGTGTATCCACAATACACTACTTTTTGGTAAATTGAATAATTTTTATGTACTCCAAATACTTCAGGGGAAGACTGCTATTTTAATAAAATTTGGTGAATTTCTCTATTTGACACAATCCTATTGCGATATTCTAATTAGAATATATGCTCAAGATACAGATTGAAATGTTGAGATGTTTTTTCCCTCTTCCCTCCCAACCTTGCTTGTTTCCTTCCTTTCTTCTTAGGTGCCTTTTTAAAAGCTTTAATGAACTATATTATTTTAGCCTTTTTTTTTTAATTTGTTGTAGGCTGTTAACAAAAAGCACTATGCTTTTCTCCTGTTCATATAACATTATATATGAGTTCACAGCAAACAGGCAGGAATTCCAATTATGTACAGACTATGAGTTTCATCTTCTCTATGAAGTGTTGTCTGTGACTCACTTGACCCAGTGGATGTGGGCTTTCAAATTATTATTACAGAAGGACATCGAGTTGATAATACTATGAAATACCAAATATGAACAATAATGTAATAAAATACCTCATTAAATTTTTTTCCAGAAAAGTCATTCAAAATGCAAGATGTTTGAAACCATAATCCATTAAACACTTCATTGAGCCAATAATCCCGAATTATTTATGTTGCTTTCAGTATGTTATGTATAATCTTTGAGCTACTCACTAAATGATGGAGCATGATATGTATATTGATTTGTACTTTTATAATTATGATAGTTTGAGAAGAGGAATTTCTTTCATGTAAATAAGTATCATTTCAAGGCTTTCCATGGTTTATACTAGTCCTGAATACAATCTTTATATCCTTTAATATTAGAAGCACCCTATTTTCTCTGACAAAAACAATGCATGAGAATTATTTTGTAAAACATTTTAAAATGTCTTTTCCATTTCTTTAGAACTTGAAAAGATTCTATGGTCAAACACTGCTTACTAAAAGTGACATATTTGTAAAGAAAAAAAAGCATTACTAATGAAGCACAACTAAATTTTTGAACCTTGAAATTTATCATTTTAAAGAATACTTGAGTGCTAGACTTTTTTTCTTTTACATAATGAATGTCACAAAAAATAAGGATGTTAAATACTTCAAAAAATCACAGTAATAAAGAATGGAAAGAATCTATGTAGAAGTTTAATTCTTCACAATGATATATAGAGGAGTCTGTGTTTTATTTTGGGATTTCTGTCATCCTAGGTATTTTGGAAATATTTGCTGTGTCTCAGGGGATTGTAGGAATACGAGGAGTTTTCAGCAACAAATTTTTAGCGATGTCAAAAAAAGGAAAACTCCATGCAAGTGTAAGTAGAACCACTTTATATTTGCTAAAGGTGTTGTAGAGATTTTACATTTGTAAACTGGAATGAAATGATTTTCCAAATTGGTAGATAGGACAATTTGCCCAGATTAGTTAATGTTTTTGTTTTTGTAAAATTATATGTGCCTTTAACCAAGAGAATTGTATGTATTTTGTAAGTAATCATTTAAGTATTTTATTTACTTGAAAAGATAATAGAGACTCCACAAAAAGTTTTAAGGATTAGTGTATTTGAAAATAGCATTCTCTAAGTGATTGTCATTGTTAATTTTTTAAAAATGGTCCAAGTGAGGAGAAGTGTTATGAAGACAGTATATTATATTATATTTTCAATTTACATGTTTATGGTGATTGTGTGTGAGTTCAGTAGATCATGTTTTTACTTAATTTTACAAACTATTCATGATGTCAAAGATGGAGTCTAATAAAACATATTCAAATTAAGAAATATGGAGGGAAGAAACCAATAATGAGATGAGTTTGACCTGTCATAGAGAAATTTTATTAGATTCATTTGAGGGATTTTTATCTTGTATTTTTGTTGCATCAAAAACTTCTTAAAACTATGAAGACTAATTTTACACTCTTAAAATTTTCTTCAGACCACTTATACATTTTGTAATCAATTTACAAATCATTGATTTCTATGTTTTGTTCTCAAAATGCGCATGACTTGGGAAGCATTAAAACATTTTAAAGATAATAAAATATATTTAGCTGACTTTTCCCACTCACAGATTCTGTTTATTATAGTATTAGTACATAAGCACAGTCCTTAAAAGTGATTTATGCTTTTGCTGTAGTGTACTAGGTTTTGTCACACTAAATCTTTTTAAACAGCAATTCTTTAAAACTACTCCTTTGATCCTTATTCCCTTTAATTCTTATTAAATAAATTGGAGACATATAATTTTTCCAGGTTTTGAAATATATAAGATGTTTTACAAGTACAATCAATTGAAACTTACTAATTATGACTTTTACTCTACAGACCTTTAAAAAAATTCAATGAGAATTTCACTTGGTTCAATGTTTAAGACTTTTAGTTTTCCTTTCCTTAGCATTTTAAAGGTGGCTTGTTATTATAGATATCATAGAATTCAAGCTATTTCTACAGTTATTTGAGGATTAAATGAGATAATATACATTAAGCTTTTAGAACAGTTTTAGGTACAGTGTAAGTGCTTAATAAATATTATATATTATTATATAATAATTTAAATATAATCTAAATGTGATAAACTACTAAAATTTCAGTATATTAAGATAAATGGAAAATCATCAACTTCTTTGATCATCCATTGCAAGAATTGTAACCAGATTTACCTACTTCATTTTCTGAGCTGGTTATTTATATTCTAACAAGCTATAATATAGTATTCACAAAGTAATTACTCTTTGATTTATTTATTATTTATTTCATAAAAGAGGCAAAGTTCTACATTGCTATGGAAAAGTAGAACATGCCATTTTATTTTTTAAAATACTTGATTTTTAAAAAAATCCACATACAGAATAGAAATCAATGGTCAAATACACCTACACTGAATAACTTTTCTTCAGTCTACTTTAAGGTTGTAAAAGATTGAAACATGTTCAACATCTAAGCATCATAATAATATGCAATGCCTGAAAAGAAATTTTCTCCTATTGGTTTGTTTGTTTTTGGTGAAAATCTAAATTTTTAAAATACTCTGATTCATGTCCTAGTACATGCAAAAAATAGACTAACTTGGGCCAGCTTAAGGATAATTGCAACAGAAAGCGAAGTATTACAAATGGATGCCAATTAGAAAGGTCAAACCGAGAGGTTAGGATACATGATTCCTCTGTCAAATGCAAGTAACAAATTTCCAGAAACTTGACCCAAATGTCTAAGGATGGCTGGCCGAAATAATGCAGATAATGCAAAAACAGCATCTGTTATTCTTTCTCATCTTGGCAGGCTAAAGTTATTTCATGGAATAATGACTTTTAAACAGTACAAAGCAAGTCTTGCTCTTGTCACTCACTGAAGCTCTTTGATATAAAAGTCATTCTGATGACTTTGAGCTGAATTGTAGATAAAAAATTAAGCCCTATGATTATGTGGATTCTTTTTAAACCAATTGTCCAAGCCCACTTTCTCTTATCTGAGCTTTTATTAGCATTTTTTCTCTAAATGGAAACCTAATTAAGTTATAAAGTGGTTTTTCTTTAAAGGAAGTTGAATTTAGAAGTAGTTTTAATCCTAACAACGATCAGATCAGTTTTATGCCAAATGTTTTTTTCCTGTTTTAAGTTTGTAGTTAAACATGCTAAAAAATTGGTCTTATAACTTTAAATATAATTATTTAATTTTGGCTTTTACAAAGTTTCATCACCACTAAAAAAGGCTAAATCCCCTTATACTTTTAGGATTAAATATGTTATTAGTGAGTTGCTTTAAATTAATAATTGTGCTGAGACATTTAAAGAGTATCTTTATAATCGTTTCAAAAATATATACATAAAATCACCGCATTATGCATCTTAAACTTACACAATGTTGTATGTCAATTATATCTCAATGAAACTGGAAAAATTTTTAATTAATAGACAGTAACTTTAGGGTTCTATTTACAGTGTAAATGTGAACTATAAATGTAAAGTATTCATATAATTCTGGGGAAAGTAAATCCATAGTGTATCAAGAAATATTCATAGATAATTGTAGAGTTTCATCTTGGGTTTTATAGTAACAATCAGACTATTAAAAGTTAGTTACTAGGCAGAGATAAAGTATTTGCATATTTCTTTGAAAGGTCTTTCACTCACATTATCTCATTACATAGTTAGGCAAGGAAACAGTCTCAGAGATGTTAAATATCTTCCTAAGTGAACACAGTTAACAAGTGATTGAAGCAGAATTACATACTTTCAAAATTCTCTCTTCCTTTAAATGCTATTATGCTTGATAGGAGAAAGCTTGAAAGAAGAATTTTGTTTTGTTTGGAACCAAATACACTGTTTTCAGCTATTATTTTATAGGAATTAATTGTTGCATATTTTAATAATATTTTTATATTACATTTTAAAGAATGAATATTCTGAATATTCTGGCTCATCCTTAGAATATTTTTCCATGTTTCTCTTTCTTTCTCTCATTCCAACCTCTTCTTGGGGATCTTTTTTTCCATCTACTTCTGTATCTCCAGTACTTGATTTTAAAATCTAGAAAGGAGGAGATGGGTCTGCCACAGAACTTATCACCAAGTATTATAAATGTTGGTTTTCAATGCGATGATGAATTGCTTGGGGAAACCCTCTTAGAATGAACTTTCAGAACAGAGATCTGTTTTGTTCACAGAAAATCTTCATGTAGAAAATGCTTCATCGTTGGTGGACACAAAGGTGGTAAACAGAAGTATCAGCCTAGAACAGTTAGACTCAGGCAACATTTATGCTGATTTCCTTTGTGTGCTAAGTTTGTTAATTCGGTGAGATAAGTTTTACTTGAAGGTCAACCATCTCAGTGTGCGCTGCTCCCTGCCTGCATTCAGTCTACAAACTCATATTAATCTACATGCAACTCTCCTTAAAACCCTTAATGGTATACCCTAAACAGGCAATGAAACCAAATGCTTAGCATGCAGGTTTTTCCAGCATTCTTTACAAGGATGGAGGTGTCTGGTCTTCTTCTCAAGAGGCCTTGGGAACCTTTGAGTGTAGGAGCAGATAATTGCTTCCCTGAGAGCCATGAGGTTTAGTCAAAGCCTTCTCTGGGGCCTCTGTCCTCTTTCTTAACTCATTTCTGGGCTGACGTTCTTTGTGGGACTGAGCACCCTTCTCTTTCTGCCTCTATCTCTCTGGCTGCTTGTCTGTTCATGCTCCCTCCTCACTCTGTTCTTGCTCTCTCCTCAGGTTTGTTGTCTTTATCCAAAGTCCCATAGGGAGACTTTCTGGATTTATCTGAGGTGGGTCCAGATGTAAGAGTGAAAGTTCATGAGTGGTGGTGAAGGACACAACTAGATTGTGTCCTTCTACATTATCTTTCTATCCCTTGGTTTTATCAACTATAAAAGGAAGAAAACTAAAGTAACAATGCATGGCTATAGATGAGCACTTTAAATGAGATAGTACATATAAAACACTTAGAATAGTGCCTGGAAAGTATTCAGCATTTAATGTTAGAACAGAGTTTCCTGAATTTGCTCTCAGGCAGCTGTTTGAAGATCTTCAGTCTCTCTTAGAATACTTTCTGATTTTGGGGTCAGGCAGCTGTGACCCCCTGAGATATTTAGACCAGCCTCAAACCCCATTTATTGTTGGCTTTTTTTTTTCTTTAGATTCAAACTTGCATACAGTAGCCCCTTATCTCCTGGATTTTTGTTTTTCCAAGGAAACTAATCTGAAAGCAAAATTCCCAGGCTCAAGATCTTAAAGAGGCAAGGATTTCCTATGGTTCTAATCCTATCTCTAAGATCCCTATTGTGCCTTTTTTTTTCTCTCTCTCTCTAAAAAATATATATATGTATCTTGGGAAAGTTGATTATCATGTATTCTTTGATCTTTTCATAAAGTGTGCATGATAGCTCATTGCCTGTTGGGGAAAAACATTTTAACTTATTTTAAAGATGCAGAGAGAAGCATGTGGTGGAATTATTTTTGTTTCTCAGGGTTTTAGGGGATCATGTTTGGAAGGAAAGCTAATTGCAGAGTTTACGAAACAGGCATGGAATGTGTGCTTGATCAGCCCTGAGCAAGGACTAGAACGTCCTCCTTTCCTGGTTTCAGAGGGTGCCAGCTGGCTTGCCTGGGATGAGAATCTGGACCGGACTTCCTGCACTGGGGGCAGAGTGAGGAGTGAGCAGCCCCTAAAGCTGGACATGTTTATTGAAAGGGGAAATGGGGGCTTGAGTAATAGTTATCATCATCATTAAAAAATAATTTATTAAGCACTCCATTCTTACAGTCAAGACTATGAGCTGTGTCAAGGCGTTGAATAGAAACTCCCCTCGCCCT